TTCAGGTACAAGCTCTCCCTCCTCTGTGAGGGCAGATCTGCGGGTCCCCCCCCCCATAGGTACCAATCCAAAACAGTCCAGTGGAGCCTGAGTGGTGGGTGTTGCCTTCTGACACACTTCCGGTGATGTCAGGGGGTGTGGCATATGCAAATGAGTTATGCTAATGAGTTATGCTAATGAGCTCCTGCACCTCTTTTTCTACGAAATGACCCCTGCTCCCCCATACAGGGAATTATAATAAATTACGATGCATTCCAGATTAAAAAGCATTTCCCACTTGACTAAAATCATCTGCCGAGATGCAATCAGTTAAATTTTGGGTAAAACTTTCTTGTGCTGTCCATGAAGACAGATCCAGGTGGGTAGCCATGTTGGTCTGAAGCAGTAGAACAAAGTTTGAGTCCAGTGGTAGCTTTAAGACCAACAAAGTTTTATTCAAGATGTGAGCTTTCGTGTGCAAGGCACACTTCCTCAGATACAGGGTTTCGTGCATGCACACAAAAGCTCACGCCTTGAATAAAACTCTGCTGTTCTTAAAGGGGCCACCGGACTATTTCTTGTGCTCTATTTGGCAGAGTGCTCTGAGGAGGTTTGTGTCTGGCAGTGTTTTACAAAGCTGCTGGAAAGTGAGTTTCTGGCGAAAGAGACAGCAATGTTACGAGTCAGAACTTTGTTTCTGATTCCCAGTTCCTTTATTCAACACAGACCTGCATGAGCAGCCCAAAATAAGGAACGGAAGCTTTCCCACCTTACACCTGAAAATGAATTTTGGACTAACCTGTATCTCACATCCCCATATCTGGATCCCTGAAGATGCCTCTGGTCACCTTTGCTTTTGCTCAGTGCACTTTGGCATATTATGATCCCGGGCTTCACTAACACTGCATCTTGGATTGATAATGCCCAGTTGGGAAATTCCTGGAGATTTGGGGGTGGAGACTGGAGAAGGCAGGGACCTCACTGCGATACAATGCCATAGAACTTGCCCTTCAAAACAGCCATTTTCTCCAGAGGAACTGATTGCTGTACTCTGGAGATCAGTTGTAATTCAGGGAGATCTCCAGGCCCCACCTGGAGGTTGGCAACCCTAGTTGCATCATTTGCGCCCAGATGAGGCCTTTGACTTGTGGATGCTTTTGTTGGTTTAAAAATTTGAGGAGATCCTTGTAATTTGTTGTGCAACTTCTCTTTTTCATTTTCCCATGAAGTGGACGGGCAATAAAAGAAGGATTAGTTTTTATATTCTGCTTTTCTCTACCTTAAGGAGTCTCAAAATGGCTTACAATCGCCTTCCCTTCCTCTCCCAGTAGCAGACCCCCTGTGAGGTAGGTGGGGCGCTGAGAGAGTTCTGAGAGAACTGTGACTGGCTCAAGGTCACCCAGCAGGTTTCATGTGAAGGAGCAGGGAATCAAATCCAGTTCTCCATATTAGAGTCTGCCGCTCTTAACCACTACACCACACTGGCTCAGTGGACTCAGGACAGACAAAAGGAAATATTTTGTTACTCAGCAAGTGATTAAAATGTGGAATTCGCTGCCAGAGGAGAGGATGTAGTGATGGCAACAGGCATAGGCATCTTTAAAAGGGGAGTAGACTGACTGACGGACGATATGATGACTAAAGGGAACCTCCACATTCAGAGGCAGCAAACCTCGGAATCCCAGTGCCATGGGGAGAATCTTGGCATCACTACTCCCTGTTTGTTGACAACCCCTTGGTTCCGGGACAACCCTTTGGTGGCTGGTGAAACAGCATGCTGGACTAGTCTAGATGGACCACTGGTCTGATCCAGCAGGGCTGGTCTTATGTTTGTTGGAGGACCTGGTTCTAGTTACTTTATGTGTTATTGAACATATGGCATTTTGTTCTTGCTGATGTGAACCCTTGGAATAAGAAGGGGTACACTTTGAATTAAAATTACGAACTACGGGAAAATTAAAGTGCACCCCTCCCCCCTGAATTGTCCTATTCTTCCATTGCAGG